ATTATGGTCTATCATAATAGACCACAAATGATCGTTTAAATCAAACATTTCCATTTTTTTGTTTTGGCCATCAACAAAAAGATTTCCATTAAAAAACCAATTTTCTATTGTTTGTGAGAATCGTTAATTAATCTCTCCTTAACCGACCACAAATGGACGTTTAAGTCCAATAATTTTCTTTAAAGCTTCCAATTAGTTTGTTTTCTTGTAAGAGATGGGTGGTTTTGAATTAGGTGACTGTGCAATTTGATTTTGATATTTGTTTTTGCTTGATGGGGAGACATATAACCTAGTGAGGAGACATTAAATAAGTCATCACATGTGTTGACATCATATTTTAACAAAAAGAACTAATCTAATAGTTATTTGAGTCTTGACATGTTTAAATCACTCTTTATACAATGTGGGGCTCTTGCTCTTTCACACTTACAAGGGAATACATATTTCAATACTTCTCCTTTCACTGGTAAGTTGTGAAGTGTGAAGTCAAGTGAAGTCTCCCATGAGAGTTCATTTTTTCATTTTTTGTTTTTGATATACATACATGATTCATTTTTTTTTGACATACGTGTCTATTGGTATACTCATCATGAGCACAACATCATTCATGGGTATACTCATCATAGGTTTGCATCATATGCACTATCACTTTGCTAAGCCTATTCTAAGACCAAAATACCATTGGTTGGAGAGACATATGGCCTAACAGGGAGACATTGAATGATTCATCACGTGTTTTGATACCATATTGTAATCACACGACTAGTTTAATAATTACATGGGTCTTGATATATTTAAGCCACTCTTTACACTCTTATTTTTTCAATGTGGGACTCTTGTTCTTTCACACTCACAAAAGAATACATACTTCAACATTGCCAATAATATTAGAATTAGGATTTATTTACACATAATTTTTACACACATTATTCACACAAAATTTTAATTATTCATTTATACATTATAAATGATCATGATTTATTATAACTTTTTATATAAAAAAATTATCTTTAAAAAGTATGATAAAAATAAATAAACCATAGCCATTTATAACGAATAAATGAATAACTAAGAATTTATGTAAACACTTTGTGTAAAAGTTATGTAAATCATAACTCAAAATCTTATTTTGATTAAGTATCTAAAACACTATGATTCATTGATTTTACCACATCATTAATCAAGGGTAAATGCCAGGGTTCTAGAAGGATAAGAGCAAAGAAAGAAAAGGAGAAAGAGAAAAGTAAGAGCATTTACATTTAGGTTTTTATTGGAATCTTTTTTTAAAGAGAGAGACTTTCACCTTATTGTGGGGGAGTCTCAAAGACTCTTGAGAAGAAGAGTCGCTTCTCATCTCATTGTGGGGAGTGTTGATAGAGCCTCTAAAGAAAAAGAGTCGTCTCTATATTTTTATTTGGGCTCACATCCCTCTTTTTTAATTATTTGAGCTATAAAATATAATTTTGGTGCCATTTTTTATGAATCTCTATTCAGTCTTTGCATTGGAAAGAAGAGCCTCTAAATGTAGGTTAAATAAAATAACATAAATGGTGATGATATGACATAAAAAAGACTTCTTTTTTTTTTTTAGTATTTATGTTAAGATGTCCCTAAACTAGTTTTCGCATACCTCAAGACTAATCTCTCTAAAGTGATTTTAAGAGCACATCCCTTATATCAACTTAGTGCATTCAAGGAAACTAATTTCCTTAGATACCTATCCTAAGACTTGAATCCTAAACCCAACTTATAAGAAGACACTTACTTACTAACAAATCCAACCCTTGGAGTTGAAAAGAGACTCATTTAAATCTCTATCATTGTAGTTGATAAAAAAAAAATGTCTATCATTGTAGACACTTTAGGAATGAAGAATATCATTTATTTTGTTCAAATTGATCATTGATCAGTGTTATATTAGGATAGTTTAAGATATTAAGGTGACCTTAGGGTTAGTGTTTGGTTTTTCTTTCCATTGAGAGATGTTGGCAATTGATGTGGGGGGATTTTATTGACAATTTTTGGGTAGGGTTTCTTGTTCTTTTTCTTATTTCTCTTTTTGTTTTGTTATGATCTCAATTTTTTTTTCATTGGGTGCTGTTTGTGGAAGGTTATGGAGGGCAATAGGATGATGTCTCATCAAGAGAGGTAGAGGAGTTAGTGGAGGCTATGGGGAATTAGTTTTGATTGTTGGTTATAAAGGGTGAAGCTTTGGTCCTCAAAGGAGTAGAGATGACAACAAGTGAGTGGATGAGTTTGCACTTCTAAGATGTAGTAGGGAAGGTCTTTACTTAAAAGTGTTTCAATGTGTTGTGGATAAAGCGAACCGTAGTCAGGGGCGGAGGTTGGCACACGATATGCATCTGAGGGTGTTGGGAGACAACTTTTTTTTTTTTTTTTGGTTTTTTCATCCCATGGATGTGGATTAAATGATGGTGGAGGGTCTATGACACGTTGATAATTTTGTAATGGTGTTGAAAGTGGTACTAGGAAATGCGATTTTGAGGCAAGATGAAGTGCATCTAGTTCCTTTTTGAGTACGAATCTATAAGATATCATTAAGGAGGAGGATGACTGCTATAGCTAGGTTATTTGGTTAATCTATAAAAAGGTGTTGGTGATGGATGTTGGTGAAGGGTGGCCATCGAGTACAAATTACTTGAAAGTGCGAGTGGAGGTGGATGTGCATTGTCCTTTAATGCGAGGGCGATGAGTTTTGCTAATGGATAGGTCTAGTTTCTAGGTAAGATTTAGGTATTAGCATTTGTTCAAGTGTTGCTACACTTGTGGTTTACTTGATCATGTGGAATGGGATTGTGATGTTGAACTTGTGATTGGGGGTGCAATTTTTGTGGAGGAGCAATTTAGGGAATGATTGAGGGTGTTGCCTAGGCAAGATAAGTATGGGTTTAGGGCAAATGATGATCAATGGATGAGGGATGCCATGGGAAAGGTGTGTAGGGTAGAGAATTTTGATGGGGGTAGGAAAGGATTGTTTGGACAGGTGGAGTAAGGAAAAGAAAATGTGGAGTTAGACAATCTTAGGAGGGATGTTTGCATGATTGGACTGGTGCCTAGAAGATTGGGTGAGTGGAAGGTAGCTAAGTTAGGGTAGACTGAGTCCAGAATGGTACTGGGGAGTATTGGCAACCAAACTTTTGTGTAGGATATGCATGGTAATGATACTAGTAAATAATGGACCAAATCTTGGAAATGGCTT